ACGACACTCGAAATTACGTAATAATTTTAAACTAAACTCTTTATTGTTATTTAAGGCACATATAATTGCTTCACTTGTAACGTAAGTGATATAAACGCGAACAATATGTGTGTTGTACGATGATAACGGTCGTAAACTGTAACTGCCTGTAAATAATTCGCTTACAGTGTTACACATGTAAACACATCAGGCCCGTTATTAGACACATTAGTAATCACATTAGTCACGCACTTAATAATGGAGCTAGTTGCGGAACATTAGTAATTGCTAAAGCTACGCGGCCTATTTACGTGCGTTTCACCGAGGCTCATAACTCAGGAATAAATAGCAACCATATTCTTATTAGTACGGCGGCGTGTGACAAAAGGACCGACACAAATACTTTGTCCGTGTCTGGGTGAATGATCGTCGGCGGAGGCAAGCGTGTCGGAACGGCGTGCGGCGCGCGGCAGAGCGAGCGCCTCGTGTGCACACGCACTAAAGCTGATCATGAAACTGTTTCAGCGTCTTCTTTAGACAAATGAGTGGGCCCAAGGGAGGTAGCGAGGTCACGTTGCTCATTGCCGGTGACATTTGACCGAAGCCTCACTTTCACTAAAACACCTCACGCCGGCCGTCTCCCTGCAATTTCCGCCCTCCAAATGACACCCTTGGTCCCTTAGCCTGTCCGTGAAAACACGTCGAGAAATCCCGACGTTTTACTTTTTTTATATCTCTGCTTATCTGCCTATATAATATAACAATGTTGTCGGGCGCATACCTAAATCTCGCTTGTATGGAGGTAAAATTATTCTCTTGTATTCGTAATTGCAGGTACCTGTTGTCTTATGCAAATGAGGACCAAGTAAAAAATCATCGTTAAAGTAAATTGTTCTTCATGAAGAAAGAACTTAATTCTTTTTGTCTTTTTACTTTTTAACATTTTAGAACCTCATATTCTTAACTTTCTTAATTACGGCCATCATTCTTCTGGACAATTTATGATAATTAAACACAAGTAAGTATAATTATTTCCATGGATGCCCAAGCGTACCCATAATCACTTTGGCATCACATGCCCGAGGGATTATTAAAAAATCCAAACATACTTCCCTTGATCCCTTGTTTTAACCCTAAATATTATGAGGAAAATACTAAAATTCAACCATTATTAAGTTAGAATGGTAATCATGTACCCGTGTAAGAGCTGGCAGCGAGCTCCAACTTGATAATGCTATAACTCATAGTTGCTTTGGGATTTATTATCAATTGTAAACCGCATAATGTCTCCGAACTATAATTTATGGCTTTTGTAGTAATAATTATGCAAATGAACCCTCTGAGCCGTATCTACGATGTTAAATAATCAATAAGCTTACGATTTCACCTTGAAAATCTCGTGCAGACAGCAAATATTTTTTATTCTTCTAAGAATGTGTACGTTATACAAAGTTAAGAAAAAGACGGTAAGCCAAGAAGTGGCTTTTCCCAACCAAAATTCTTATAAGGACGTCCGAGGCGGGGGTGATTTACCGCGCGGCGACCGCCGTACTCGCCTTATTGAATGCTATGTTCTATGAAAGAAAATCGTATATTTTGACATAGCACAAGCTAAATTTACGACTTTCATTTATTCGTCGTGACAAATGACAATTAAAAGTGGTTGGGCTCCTGACCGTTTGTCGAACCATGACGTTTTTATGTCCAACTCTAATCTGTTCTCTTTGAACAGTTACGCTCGAACAATGTTACTTCTTTCAATTCGGAGGCGTAATTAATACGATTGAAAAAATCTTCGCTACGAAATATTTCAATCAATTTTGTTTATAAAGTTAATTCCGTTTGCGTCAATAATTCTTAACAAACATATTATCTATCAGATATCATGCACATAAGCTAACTAATAATTAAACCTATCAAACAATATAAAACCATATAGAACCTGCGTTCAATTTTGTTCAAAATATTGAACAAAATATTGAAATATCAGCGGAAATATTTTTATTCAATTGAAGATGACTTTGTAGCTATCCGTTTTACTGAGCAAAAAAGTTGAACGGCTAGGTTGAAAAACAAATTTTCCTTAGCCTAGCGTTTCGCTACTGAAATGGAATAAAATAAATAAAATCACCGAGAAAAAATAGGTACATTTTTATGAATATTGCAACTTTATAATAATAACTTCGGTGTCTTTGGTAGAAATCTGAGGTACTCTTTTTCTTGAGTTTCTATTTTCATTCTGCGGTTTGACGCAGTATCTGCTTGCAGTAAAATTAACGAAAGTAATCTAAAAATAGAAGTCGTTCGTTAAGGAGTGCGATGCTTGTAATGAAAACGAAAATATCGCGCAAAGGCAGGAAAAGGGGTGTTACTTTATAGGCCAATTAGTCTGAGAATACCGTATGCGTTCATTACTCGGTGTACGGCGAGGTTTAAGCGGCGACATTATGAGTAGGTACCAGTGAATATGGCACGCGGTGCCAACATTGTCACCGCCCGGCCTAATCGCACGCACGTCTGCCATAACGCACAGTTAATTATATTAACTTTATTACACACATTATGGTTTGTGTTGCTCGTGATACGACTTTCTCATTAACAAATAATAATGAACATACACAGTCGCAACTTATTGAAGCCATAATACCCAAAAATGTACCATTATCGTTTTATTTATTAATGACTACAGTCGGCTTACAGTCTGCAAGGGATTACAAATTGCATAATAACTACCTCGGCCGGTTCACTTTGTCTTTGCATTCTGTAATAATATTTATATATTAATCTTAATATTAATTTGGAAAAGTTGACTGTGATGCCCATAAAAACCTTAATGGAATATTTATTTATTTACAACTTGTTAAACCGCTTTGTATATTTTAAAGGCAAAATTTTGAGCTTTATACGAGGTTTTATTTATTTGGTATGCATTTCAGTACTCAGTCTTTTCCAAAACTTTTCCTTTGCCGTTCAACTTTATGTAGGTGTATACAAATATATATGTACGTATGTATGTTCATCAATTATGTTAAAATAGCTAAGGAAGTTTTTCAAATAAAGCAACATTTTTTATTGTGTATAAAGTGTTATCCGTTGTTTATATTCCAATTAAATAAAAATATACTTGTCTTTGCTATTAGACATAAAGTCTATATGTTATCTTTAAAACGCTTCGCTAGAGTCGTCTTTGGCATCTACTGATGTACAGCATTACATAATTTTTCTTAGAAACGGTGCCAAAACATCTGCCATCATTTATAAAGAAAATGTAATTAACTTGACAATTAAGAGAAAAGATCGTGTATCCCTGAAACGGTAAAATTTTCCTCAGGGGAGATATATCGATGTCCTTAAGTCAATTCTCTGCCCCATTAATTCGTGAAACCCGACATAATCCTGCTCTACTTCTCTGCGTAACTTTTGTTTAAATGCATCGCTGAGGTTGGTTCATAGGCACATAAATATACGTACCTTTGTGAGACCTATATAGAGGTATATAGAGGTGAATTCAAGAGGAAACTCTTACTACGTACGTATACCCAAACCCTTTTACATAAAAGATTTGTATGAGGAAGTAAACTTGAGATTTCGCAAGCTAGCATACGCCTCGAGTACGATGCTCGATCATAAGAGATTTGACCCAGTCACTACTGACTTCGTAGAAAACTCCGTGAGTTTTCGCAGTTCTCAAAAGCTACGTTACTTACACACATTACTTACATTGCCTTTGTGGTCGTAATGAGATAATACGCATCATCCAACCGACTGCCCGCCAACCCGACGTGCCATACAAAAATACTCCCAAATTACAGCCAGACCCGAAACGAAGGCAATCTTCTGACAATCATGGCCGACCCAGACCTTTCCGAGTTGTACAACCGCTTATCTACTAACCCTGACCATTACTAGTAATGGAAATCGAATTACTATTTAAGCAAGATAAACGGAAAACGTGCGGTTTGAACGGTCATCGTACTAACTTACGAAGTTACATACGGATGCCTCGACTTTACGGGCAATAAACAAAGGGAATGTTACGCCGCCGCGACCTTCGCAGCAATAACCGCTGAGGTAGGCCCTTTGAGCGATTCACTTCTTTAATGACAAATGCCACTTCAGCTATAACACAGTTACGCCGTGACATTAAAATTTCCGTACCATAACAAATTTACGACGTCTTATCGATCTTGATTGAGGGTAATTGCACCCTTATGAATACACATCGATATCAACCGCGTAAATGTTTATAAGCAATCTGTAACATTACCCAAACCAAAATTTCCTGTATCTCGTAAGTACTTAGTATAATGAGCTGTTGTTGATACCGAAAAATGAATAACAAATATCTTATGAAACCGGGCGAAAAGAATCCCCGTCATGTCAAGGGGCGAACCCGTAAATCTGTTAAGATCTTCAGATATTATTTTTTTATTTCCACCCAATTTATGGAGTACCGACCCGTTCTCGAGAAAGAGCTATGATATTTCATGCTGTCATTGTGAGGCCAACCGTGAAGTTCTAGCTTTATTAAAAGTTAGAGTTCAACTTGCCACTTGACATTTAACCATATATATATTGTCTGCGCGGTGAATACTATCCTCCACGGTGATGATAAGCCTTCACTATTATTGCGTAAAATACAAAACACTCCAAGCTAACGCAGTTATATATTACTTATAATATATACTATACGAATATACTTCGCCGACAGCTCTAGGAATTGCCTGAAATTGGTGTTCTAACTTGGAAATGTCTGTAGAGATAAGTTTCCTCGTGTTTCAGTATTTATTCTCTTTGCGGCGGAATATCGTGCAAGCATTATATATCGCCTCTACTTGACTGACATTATTTATTTTTTCCTTAACATTTCTGACAGTAAAAAAGCGTGAATTCAGGCTGAAGAAATATTGATCATTGTGATCTGTAAATACTTACTATGCGTAGGTACCGTTACGCGTACGCAATCCTGAAGGGATGAGGCGCTTGCATGTAAATATATAATGGTGTTTATTTTGTTGCAGCGTCGCGTATTCGATACGAGATCACGAGCGGGAACATAGGCGGCGCGTTCGCCGTCAAGAACATGACTGGCGCCATCTACGTGGCAGGCGCGCTCGACTACGAAACTAGGAAGCGGGTAAGCTTTCTACTGCGTTCTGCATTTTAAAATATTATATCAATACCCTGCCAACATACACGATATGAAGTAAACCCCAATGAGTGAAAAAACCTTTATTCAACTTCACGTTTTCACAGAATGGCATTAACAACGGTTCAATGGCTCTTGTTTAAAGAACCGTGACTCATTCGTTTAAATGGGCTACCTTTTAATAAAAAATAAATATTGAAAAATATGTACGAGTTTACACTGGACGTGCTCTATTTTAGATTAATTACAGTTTGTTGTTAATTCCGATTAAATTAAGGTCCACTCGTACTAAGTATTTAGGGTTGATGGACGGTTATAAGTTGGATTAATTGTTCAACTCCAATAAAAGCTAAATAACATTCAACACGAAATGTTTGAAAGTTAATTTAGTCACCTCGGATTACATGTCCGTGTCGGAATAGATATAAAATGCGTTTGAATTTGTGAAAAATAACTGAGATTAATATTCATAAAGGGCGATAATAAAGCTTTGGAATGTGGGTGTTTTAAAACAATTGCGCGGTTTTATAGTGATGGATGGGCCCCGAGAGGCGCTGTAACCACGATAAAGTGGAAAATAAATAAATCGGTATCGGAACGATTTTGTTGAGTCGTGATATGGAAAATTTATTTCATGTGTCACTGATAGTATGTACGAAAACAAATACCGGAATTGTGTACATATTCTGATAATAAATTGTTTTACATCAAGACAACACTTTTCACGAGTACGGATTAAAAAGGAGTCGTGTTAAAGAGCACTTACTTGTTTCGTGTTAGCATCCAATAATGCTTTTAAAACTGTCAGGAATTACATGAACTAGATACCAAGCCCCGCTTGGAGACACTTGTTTCTACATAGCACTTATTATGTATGCTGAGTAGTTAGTATTCTAGAAACGTATATCTCATACTAATGAAATATGAAACTGATTTCATCTGTTCAAGTCTGCTTCGTTATCAACCACGATTTGAATAATCCGCGTTCAAGTTTAACAAAGGTTTTTATTAAACTAATCCTGCAAACTAATTAGGGCAAGTTTAACTTGCGCGACAAGTAGGACCTAAGTTCGTCATCAACAATTATGTCACGTGTCAGCAAAATCCCAAATTAAACAAGTGAAGGATAACTAAGTGAGCCAACAAGATAAACCAGTTGTACAAACACACAAGTGTAAAGTATGTAATAATATGTACATACCTGGGCGCCCCGAGGGCCTGCTTCACCTACAGAAAACCAAATAAAGACGCAGAGGTTATTTACGAGATCAAATGAAAATTTGTATTTTACCACTATAGATACACATTTTTTAAGGCCCAATATAAACATTGTTGGGTTGTGTACTAATGAAAATAGAGGTGAGTTAGATCAAAAGAGAATTAATCGCCTTTGAACATAATTTTGTGCTAAAATAAACGGCGGCGTTGAACGGTAACAGTGTCTCGCTTACTTTTTGCCCCTTGGCGAGTTTCAATTTTAAAACATCGCGTCGCGGAGGCGGTCTCCGCTCGCCTATCAGAACGCCCTCTTTGTTACAGCCTCGAGAAACTTTCCACCAACTTTTCACGAGATAAATAATTTAATCTTTAATACCCATTTAAGCGAGCCGCCGTAGTTGTTACCAAAGGCTGTATTGCTATCAAACTGCAGATTCTCACGGAGCTTTTATGGATGTAAACCAGTTTACTCTCTACACTCCTTTTGCTTTTAAACGTTCCAGACTTCGCTTAAATGTTCAAGAAGTACATTTTATTGTTATTTATTTAAAAGGAAATAACGCTTCACTCCTGAATGAAAGCGATGGAAAAAGCTCGTGGGAAAATTGTATTTGCGAGGCGTGTTTCGCTCTTACGCGACATTGTCTCAACGGACGGTAGAAAGTTTGTACAGCACAGTCTGGCCAGCTCGGTACGTAGGTAACCATCAACTGGGTTAATAAAAGAGAAAATACTCTATCCGTAGTCCATGTGTATAAGCTGGTTCAGGCGTAGCTGTGGGAGCTGTAAAATACGGAAACGTACGAGGATTTCACTGAAAGCATTAGTCGAACCGAACGTAGTAGTGTTCACCTGCGCCGAGATTAGTTCAGTTATTAATAGTCACGAAATCACAACACCTAGTCTACGCCTAAACCGAGATGGAGTCTCATTAAGCTTTAATAGACTTTCGGAGTTTTAACAAATCCAAATTAATATGAGGTGAATGTAGTACTCCAACTTGTATAAAGTGTGTGAGATGACTTTTGAAACAAACATTTCCCTCCCGAGTGAGGAAATTACTGAACGACACTGACAGATGACACCAATAACTCCCTCGGGTCGCAAACACGCTCACTCTATTTTCGAAGCCAAGTGTGGACTTGGTAAATTTTTGGTTACAATTTATATACCCCTAGGTATTCGTTAACAGTTTATTCGTTAAAACTTGTACAAAGATCCCGCTGATTCTTAGCATAATTTGTCACAATAAGTAGAGCCGTCAAACAATTTTCAGACGAAATAATTATTATCATTAAGAAAATGTTTCCTTCATTCCGTTATTACAAAGACCCAAATAAAGTTAATTATAACTGGTTTTAAATTACTTTTTCCAACTTTCTATTAAACTTTTTAAATTACCTTGTTAAATTGTAATTACAGAAGTCAAAGGACTTTCGGTAAATCAGCGAATTAAAAAAAACGATGACTTAATTTAAAATGATAGCGACGTTTGAAATCAGTTATCGCTGACAGATTATAATTAGAAAGAAATTCAATTGAGTCCAAACGTTTACTTAGTTAATGAATTAGGAAGATTGCTAGGATTCTGAAGTTTAATGTAAGAATGAAGAGTAATGTATTATTGACCGGCAACAGTACGAGCTGAAGCTGGCGGCGTCTGACAATCTGAAGGAGAACTATACGACTGTGGTGATCCACGTGAAGGATGTGAACGACAATCCGCCTGTGTTCGAGAGGCCCACCTATCGCACGCAGATCACTGAAGAAGATGACCGCAATCTGCCGAAACGAGTGCTTCAGGTCCGACTCGAGATCACTACCGCTGAATTCGATTCTTTATTGAACGAGTTCTAGCGTCTGCCAGCTATTGTTTCAAAAGAGAATCGAATGAGGCTCCACGGTCCCTGGATCGACCCTTACACCATTAGCTTGCATGGCATGGGGGTTTCATTTGCGACACTGTTTTACTTCGTAGTTTGGTTTTTATTTTTTGCTAGTGTCCTTGTTGTTTTTGTTTTTATGCATCCAACTTGTTTATTGCGACGGGCAGCAGTTCCAGAACAAAGTGGTGAATACTCGTTGCGTAATTGAACATTTCTTTCAGATCTCTGTTTTGTTTTTGTTCTTTTTTTTCTAGAATTATTAGACTTGCAAAATACTTAGCTGTATTCGTATTTACTCTGAGCTGAACATACAATGTTTAATGACAAAATGAACGCAAAATTCTTTATAAAAACTAGTAAATCTTTTTCTGAAGTTACGGCTCAAGGAATTTTATTTAGTGTATTGGATATAGGTACAAGCTCGGCACGGAGAAATATCAGCACTAGCAACTTATTTACGTCACTAGTAATACTCTTAAATCCGTACTTCGATAGATATTGAAATCAACGAACGAACGTCACTCGAACTGAGGCTTCGCACTGAAACGACTGAAACTCAATGAGTCGCGTAATACTTCGACCGGCGCGAAAACCTAAAACAACCACTCTGCGGCTATTAATATTTATTTACTTTACTCGCTTCCATAGAAAAGTAAACATTTTTAAATATAATTTTATAGTCAAAGTCGACTTTTCCCATTTTTATAACGATAACGATGCGAAGTTCGGCAGCTGGGCGCGAGCTGCCGCAGAGAGAGGGCGTTTGAAATTTGTACTTTTCAATTATTGCACGAAACCCGAAAGCAAAGTTCTTCGCGCGGCATAAATTAACTTCTTCATTGCGATTAATTCGCGGTGGCTTTTGGAGAAACATTTTCTCTGATGACTTTATTTACTCGAAATAAATATTTCACTGCACAAGGTCTAAAAGCAATGCGCAATACATATAAATCACGCTATATCGATATGATATATAGTACGTACTCGCGGCATCCGTTAAAACTGCGGCCGTGGAATTGTAACGTAGCTTATCTGCAACAAAATGGACTTTTATGAAAGGGATCAAAAGTAATAAATCATAAACCACCGCGGATTTACATATTGTGTGTGCTCAAAAGTTTCGTGAATAATTGACTTTTGTACCGACTATTGGAGAACCTAGCTAGATGTTTCTAAATTAGTTTTTTTTTTGTTGAAATTTTTATTACATTTGTTATTACTATCCACTGTACTGAAACTTTTATTCTGTGAGAGAAGAAACTGGAGAGATGTAGAAGTAGAGTGTGGTGCATGAGCATGGTGAGTGTATGTGTGCGTGTCGCAGTACGAGCTGACGCTGGTGGCGTCGGACGGGCGCAACGAGAACTCGACGCGCGTCGTGGTGCGCGTGCTCGACGTCAACGACCTGCCGCCCAAGTTCACGCGCAGCGCATATGTCACACAGGCACTCGAGGAGACCGGCCCCTTCCCACACCCCCTTATACAGGTTTTTTAAGTTGTTTTTTTTTTGTTCTTTTCTGTTTCCTCTTCTTCTTCCAAACGTGGTCCAGGTTGCGCTTTCTTTGTCTAACAAAACAAACTTGAATTGACAATATATGCAACTAACAACCATCTTCTCAGAACCGCCTCCAAGCAACCCTTATTGAACGTGGCATTCTTTCTCTTTTATAAAATTAAATTCTTTCTCGCATATATTACAACATATCCAGCCAGCAGCTGCAAACACATTTCAAATATTGACATGCAAATTTAAAAGGATCTCGGCTAGAGACAGCAAGCGGTACTTAAACCGATTTTATTTTTGTGTTTAACTCAGTATCAGGGTCCCACTCATAAGCATAAAAAACTCCATTTCATAGATAAAACGTGCCAACGCAGCATGTTAATACTGTGCGTGTAATTTGTGCGAACCACCTCTCTTCACTTCGAAAACCATTAGGAAAGGTCGTTCCGATTGTAATGAAGCGATAAAAAACCCAGCTTTACATACTAACTTATACAAACCGTCACAATTTGTTACCTCCGCATACAATTTATCCGCTTTTTAAATTATTTTATTCATTTATCGTATATTTATTTTGGGGTGCAGGATCTCCTATCGCAAATAGACTAACGGCCATGATTACATTTTGGTGTTAACACAAATTTGAATCCACAGGTTTGGGAGGTAAGTAATAATGGACGTAGATTTAGCAGTGAGATTTTAGTGAAAACTCACGCATCACTGAAGTTTATTATAGGTAGTCTAGTTTCGCTGCATGTGTAGTATCTATGGTACATAAACATTCAAGATGCTTTTACTAGTTTGCAACTTTGAGTTCTGTCAATAACATAATATGAGAGCCGTAGTATGAAATACGGGCGATATTTTGCGAAATATTTGGAATTGCTTTTACTCAACTTCGCCTCTGTGTTGTGTCTGAAGTCAAGTTTCAATAATATTACCTATACTCGTACTGCCAATTTTGGTATTCAGACACAAATGAAAATTAAATCAATTTGTCAACATTTGTAATGAATGAACAAAACCTTTACGTTCTATTTCGAGGCAAATTAATTTGTAATGACTAGTTTGTCTGCGATATTGACAAATCTACCGGTGGATAATTCATAATTTTAATTTGAAAGGGTCTAAAAATTGTCGATGTTGTACTACGTAACAGTTTCAGAGACTGGCTGCCTTGACTTATACTCAATCATGAAAATTTGCCGCTCTCCAAGAGTGAAGCCCTCGTCCCAAGTCGCTTGTAGTGACAAGCTTTTTTTATAATTGGAGTGAGATTCGCAAATGATCCGAGTAATTACGCAAACGTCGACCCTCTTCATTTCAGGCTCTCCCGCCAGTCTGACGTAATTGGACATTCCAGTTGCCATAAGTTTACGTATCCTAATTTTAAAGGGATCAATTCCTCCATTATACACTTGATAAACAGCATTGTCTCGAATTTGATACACATACTCAGTTGCCGCATGCGTAAGTGCTCATTTCCGTGTAACATTTTATCGAACTTAATTCCGTTTTGCCTTTCACATTTCTTTCACCTTGAAGCATTCAAGTAGTGACTTTTTCCTTCAGCTTTCTCGTTGTCCTTAAAAAGAATAAAGTTTGCGATGCTTCCGCTGCTGGGGCCGCCTGACTGATGCAAACAATCCGGGGTGTTGGGGTTCATAAACTTCTGAGAACTTCCGTGGCGCATCGCCACTATAAAATACATAGTAATTCGCATTCAGCCTGAGATTAAAGTTGTTTGGACGGTTTATGGTAGCGTTATAAGGAAAATTCTGAGAATTGTCAAGTCAACGTATTATTACTTCGCAATGTAATGGAAAAGCTTCGTAGGGCTGGAAATATTGGTAACTTAATAAAAATAGAGAGGAACTTTAGTATAAGTATAAATAAGCTGCTTATTTTAACATTCTATAAAGTATTGTAGCAACGGGCACAACCTTTTACTTACGACGTCGATCGGCGGTTGTCGTAATTGAGATCAAATCTTATTTTCTTCCTCTTGAATGGGATAATTGTTCGAGCACAATAGGCCTAGGGTTCAAGAAAAGGGAGCGACCACTAATACAAGCCACATTGTCGGTGGTTTCTAGCAATTAATCTTCATTAAGTTTTATTTATTGCTAGTTTGAAGATTTTGCAAAGTAAATAGAGGTCATACTTAGTGAATGTTACAAACAATGTCTTTAATTTGGTAAGTATTAATTAAGTAAATAATCATTACTGCCTTGGGACATTTTGATCTAGCAATACATAAGTTCTCGCAAGTATTGTGAGTATGAGTTTCTATATAATCAAACACAACACAGAGCCTGAGGTACTCCTTGTAAGATTGTACTAACTTCACTAACTAGCATGAATTTATGTTTGCCTGTACTTGATTGCTTTTCTTGGTATTTTGGCTTTATTAAACCAATCCAATTCGTAAGGTAAGTGAAATACTTTTTTAATCTATTTTCTTTTAATGATTACAGTTCAACATAATACTTTTACACATGCTCCTGGATTCGATAACCGGGTCCAATAAAGAAAAATTAAGCTTTTCTGTATCCAAATTATTAGTTGGTATTCAACTGTAAGGTCACAATGAAGTTGTAATTACTTGGGTAATGGGTGTATTGCAAGCCTACGCTTACCCTCTACCCTTCGGCTAGGAACGGGTGCTAGGCGGTGTAAAGTTATGTTATGGTCATGTTTTGGTTGACAAGATAAGCAATATATAGCAATGCTTAGGAGAAAATTAAAATTATTTTCTAGAAATGATATGTATGTATATTATTTGCGAAGTGTAAAGCTAATTTGTATACCTTCTCTTCAAACAGGTCACTGCCACGGATGGCGACAAAGACAGACAACAAAATATTGTATATTTCCTCACCGGTCAGGGCATCGACCCTGACAATCCTGCGAATAGCAAATTCGACATCAATCGTACAACGGGCGAAATATTCGTCCTCAAAGTAAGTTTTGAATTACATATGAAAATGACGTAATTTGTATAAAAGTCGCGTCTTGTAATAGGGTGTAGGTATGTACCTACTGGAACACCTGATGCCGCTGCCATCGGAATGAGAGTAGCGAACTCGTGAACAGCGATGGCCATCCAGTACGACGCACGCTTTGCATGCACAATGCAATCACACATTTATTACGTTCCATTTGCTCCGAAGTCGGACACAGATATTTCTGAAATGAGAAAAACCGAATGTTTCCTGAATGTTAATTATCTACTCTTTAGAAAATTGGAATACTTTTTGGTCGCCTCGCTACCAAAAGGCGAAAGATACTTGCGACTTTAACTTTACTGTGAGTTTAGGATCGGTTTGTTTGAAGATCACCAAACAAACACTATCTTTGTATTTACCAAACCCTTTTAACGGCATTTATATAGGTATCACAAATGTGTGTCGCTGTGCCTACAACATAAAGGGATTGTAATCATAATAAAAAGAAGGCGCTGTTGTTTGCAATACTAATTTAATTAGTCTAATTAACAGATGTAAATTAATATACGATAATATTAACATAGAAAATTAGATAGAAAACGATAGTGTGTGTTTAACCACATACATGTATATTATCATGTTTTGTTAATGTGGCCGATAACTAGTGATTTTTCCACAGCCTTTGGATCGCGACCAGCCTAATGGACGACCGCAATGGCGATTCACAGTATTTGCGCAAGATGAAGGAGGCGAGGGTCTCGTGGGATACGCAGATGTTCAAGTCAATCTTAAAGACATTAATGATAATGCTCCAATTTTCCCTCAAGGCGTATATTTCGGTAATGTCACAGAAAATGGCACAGCTGGTATGGTCGTTATGACTATGACAGCCATCGACTATGATGATCCGGCAGAAAGTAATAACGCGAAACTGTGGTATTCTATTGAGAAAAACGTCATTGAGGAAGAAACCGGCTCACCTATATTTGAAATCGAACCTGAAACTGGTGTCATAAAAACTGCAGTATGTTGTCTCGACCGAGAAAGAACACCAGATTATTCGATACAGATAGTAGCGTCCGACGGTGGGGGTTTGAAAGGAACCGGTACAGCCTCCATTAGAGTAAAGGACATTAACGATATGCCCCCGCAGTTCACCAAAGACGAATGGTTCACTGAGGTCGATGAAACCGATGGAACTAATTTACCTGAAATGCCCATCTTGACAGTAACTGTTCATGATGAGGACGAAACTAATAAATTTCAATATAAAGTTATTGAAAATAGTGGATATGGTGCTGATAAGTTTACTATGGTTAGAAATAATGACGGCACTGGTTCGTTAAAAATTGTACAGCCTTTAGATTATGAAGACCAATTACAAAGTAATGGCTTCAGATTTAGGATACAAGTTAATGATAAAGGAGAAGACAATGACAACGATAAATATCACGTAGCTTATTCATGGGTAGTTGTTAAGCTTAGGGATATTAATGACAATAAACCTCAATTTGAAAGAGCTAACATAGAAGTATCAGTATATGAAAATGCTGAAGTCGGAAAGAGCTTAGAAACATTTAAAGCAACTGATCCAGATCAAGGAGGAAAAAGCAAAGTATCGTATGCTATCGATAGATCCTCAGATAGGAAGCGTCAGTTTTCGATTAACCAAGAAGGAACTGTAAGCATACAACGGTCATTAGATCGAGAAGACACTCCCAGGCATCAAGTTAAAATTTTAGCAATTGATGATGGAGTACCACCGAGGACTGCAACAGCTACTCTGACAGTAATTGTTCAAGACATAAATGATAACGCACCTACATTTTTGAAAGACTATAGACCTGTTCTGACAGAACATATAACACCTAAAAAGGTAGCTGAAATTTTAGCTACCGATGATGATGACCGATCAAAAAGTAATGGACCACCATTCCAGTTCAGGCTTGACCCTGGTGCAGATGACATCATTCGTGCTTCTTTCAAAGTGGAACAAGACCAGAAAGGTGCTAATGGTGATGGTATGGCTATAGTGTCATCATTACGATCCTTTGATAGAGAACAACAGAAGGAATATCTTATTCCCATTATTATTAAAGATCATGGAAACCCTGCAATGACTGGAACAAGCACCTTGACTGTTGTAATTGGTGATGTCAATGATAACAAAATGCAACAAGGATCCAAAGAAATACTGGTGTACAGTTACCAAGGTCAAGCGCCAGACACGGAAATTGGTCGAGTTTACGTTTACGATCTTGATGACTGGGATCTTCCAGATAAAAAGTTCTTCTGGGAAAGTTCAGAACATCCAAACTTCACATTAAACGAAGAAACTGGTATGATACAAATGAGACATAAAACCAGGGAAGGTAGATATCATCTTAAATTTAAAGTTTATGATCGGAAACATACACAAACAGATGTGCCTGCAAATGTTACAGTGTATGTAAAAGAAATATCTCATGACGCCATTATAAATTCGGGTTCCATCCGAATATCCGGAATATCTGATGAAGATTTCATCAGGGTATGGAATTATAAGACTCTTAGCGTGTCAAGGAGCAAATTAGACATTTTCAAGGACAAATTGGCTGACTTGCTCAATACTGAACGTGAAAATATTGATATCTTCAGCGTGCAGCTCAGGAAGAAGCACCCTCCAGTCACAGATATTCGCTTTTCTGCTCACGGGGCTCACTACTATAAGCCTATCCGATTAAACGGCATTGTGTTAATGCATCGTGAAGAAATTGAGCGCGCTGTGGGAATTAACATCACAATGGTCGGTATCGACGAATGTTTGTATGAAAACCAAATGTGTGAAGGGTCCTGTACTAACGTTTTGGATATCAGTAATTTGCCTTATATGGTTAATGCAAACAAAACAGCTCTCGTTGGTGTCCGAGTTGACGTAATCGCTGAGTGCACATGTGGTGCCCGAAACTTCACGCAAGCAGAAACTTGCCGTAATTCTCCTTGTTACAACGGAGGCAGGTGTATAGAAGGCAAATATGGATTAACCTGTTCCTGTCCTCCTGGGTACACAGGACCAAGATGTCAACAAACATCCAGGAGCTTTAGAGGCACTGGCTGGGCCTGGTATCCTGCCCTGGAAATGTGTGACAGTTCACATTTGAGCTTCGAGTTTATCACGAGAAAGTCGGAAGGTGTATTATTATACAATGGACCAATTGTACCACCCGAGCCTGAAGAAATAATGGTATCTGATTTCATATCGGTGGAATTAGAAAGGGGTAATCCAAGACTTCTTATTGATTTTGGATCCGGTACTCTAGAATTAAGAGTGAAAACAAAGAAATCCCTGGATGATGGCGAATGGCACAGAATAGACATATTCTGGGATACAGAAAACGTCAGAATGATCGTGGATTTCTGTAAATCTGCTGACATTCAAGAAATGGAAGATGGAACTCCACCAGAATTCGATGACTCCACTTGCCAAGCTTCTGGAACCATACCTCCATTCAATGAATATCTAAATGTAAATGCACCGCTACAAATTGGTGGTTTATACATAGAGCATTTTGATCCGACCCACTATCATTGGCAATACATGCCTATAGGCAAAGGTTTTGACGGGTGCATACGAAACTTAATCCACAACAGCAAGTTGTACGATTTAGCGCATCCTGGCTTATCTCGAAATTCCGTGGCCGGTTGTCCTCAAACTGACGAAATATGTAATCAAGCAGACACTACTTCACGGTGCTGGGAGCACGGCACCTGTGTCGGAAGTTTCTCCGAAGCCCGGTGTCAGTGTCAGCCTGGTTGGACGGGACCTTCATGTAACTTACCAACTACGCCTACCAGCTTCCGGCCTCAGAGTTATGTGAAATTCGCTTTAAGTTTTGAACCAGACAGGTTTAGTACACAAATTCAACTGCGGTTTAGAACTCGCGAACCTCACGGTGAACTTTTTAGAGTGAGTGACCAACACAATCGAGAGTACGGTATACTTGAAGTGAAAGAATCACGATTACATTTCCGTTACAACCTGAATTCACTTCGTACTGAAGAGCGTGACGTGTGGCTAAACTCTGTGGCGGTGGATGACGGCCAGTGGCACATAGCGCGTGTGAGCCGGTACGGAAGCGCTGCGATGCTTGAAATAGATGGCGGCGAGGGAAGAAGATATAACGAGACATTCTACTTTGAGGGCCACCAGTGGTTGTTGGTGGATAAGCAGGAAGGAGTGTATGCTGGTGGCAAGGCTGAATATACCGGCGTTAGAACTTTTGAAGTTTATGCCGACTTCCAGAAGGGTTGTCTAGATGACATTAGGTTGGAAGGCAAGCACTTACCACTACCGCCGGCGATGAATGGCACGCAGTGGGGACAGGCGACGATGGCTAGGAACTTGGACCGGAACTGCCCGTCCAACAGCCCGTGTATCAACGTGCACTGCACCGAGCCCTTCGTGTGCGTCGATCTCTGGAACGAATATGAATGCACGTGAGTATATCATCCTATTCATTTATTCTTTTTTGTTAAACCCTGATAAATAGATTTGTTTAATGAATCATTTTTTACCTATATGAAATCCTCGCATTTTATTTAATAAAGGATTTTTCAGTCATTACAATAATGATCCGTAAAAAAATATTTAACCGACATATCTGTGATGAAGAAAAGCAAAATATTGTAACTGGAAAATATTTAATGTTTTCCCCAGTATTATCTCTACCACTGAAATGCCATTGTACCTTAGATTTGATGCCTAATTATGCATAATTAGAGGGTACAAGTATACCACAATTAATTATGTAACAGAACAATAATAATGTTTTATTGAGCCCTTTACATTCTGTATGATCTACTTAATTGATGTCATCGAATTTATGATGATTTTTATCTTTTATCTCAAGTGCTATAAGCACTAATTGTGCTATAACCCCATGAACATGTTTTATTTAGTACAATTTATTTTGAAGCGCGCACTGAGTTTCGACATCATATTAATTTACTTTATTTTAATATTATTTATATATAACATTATTGTCCTTTTTGTTTTAATATACTTACTTACATATTATATATTATCAACTAATAAATATATATATAAAATATTATATACACACTTATTTCTTTTTCCATAAATATGTCTAACACAATATTTTTTATATTTGCATATATTAATTATCGTTTGTTATAACTATAATAATATAATGACATGTAATATTATGTACTGATACTAATGCTTAGCAATATTATATTGGAATGGTGTTCAGTTGCGGTGAGGGTTTGGTATTGTCTCCGGACGGCAAGGGATGTGTAGACAAGAACGAGTGTCTGTACTTCCCGTGCCGCAATGGCGGCTCGTGCGTGAACCGCGAGCCTGGCTACCGCTGCCACTGCCCCGAAGGGTTCTGGGGCGAGAACTGCGAACTCGTACAAGAAGGCCGCACGCTCAAGCTCAGCATGGGCGCGCTCGCGGCGATCCTCGTCTGCCTCCTCATTATTATGAGTGAGCACTAACGTAGTCACGCTTGCCGTGTCCCACTAGACGATCATCCCGACACTCTATCACTAACGCACTCACATCATCCTCTCACGTATCTGTGTATATGTAGCCGTGTTACTAGTCAGTGTTATACAGTAGTGCATGCTATATATGGGCGGGGCTCAGTGCGCGCGCGGCGGTGTCGCGAGGCGGAGAGTACAGCGCACGGTGTGTAGGTGTCCCGACGGCTCGGTGCGCGCAGCCGGTACTTGTGTCAACGTGAACGAGTGCGAGGGCAGCCCGTGCCGGAACGGCGGCACGTGCGTGGACCGAGAGCCGGCGCGCCGCTACGACTGTGTGTGCGCGTTCGGCTACGCCGGCCACGACTGCGAGCTCGAGCTGCTCGCCTCCGGCATCATCACACCCTCCAGAGATTTCATTATAGCTATCATTGTTTGTTTGTTCATGCTTTTAGGTGAGCACCACATTTTTATGTTTACTTGCATGCAATTACTGTCCTTAAATGTGTGTCATTAATCAACATTTGGCATAACATAACATCAAAATTTCATAATAATTTTTGATCACGTTCGTTTCTATAATTCTATGTTGAATTTTTACCATATTCAACATGAATTATAATGTGTATTCATTAATTTATTGATAGAATTTATTATGGTATGTAAAATTAATTTATCCGACACCTATACATATTAATCTGGATAAATAATTACCTAGTTGACACTGTTTTATTCACGCAAATAGATTTACGTATTCAATTTAGTATCTACATATATTTGCCTGAATTAATTTCACTATGAAATTACCTATAATTTGAAATGATGATATATCGGGTCTTTGTGATGTTCAGTAACGCGTTGGAACTGGATTAAAAGTAATTGAGTTAATATAAGTAGATGTCTGGCTGTCGACTGTGTTCAGAAATCATCCGTCCCGGGTCCCTTCCTTTATTAAATACCTATCTTACGGAAATTGAAATAACTGAAACAGTCCCAAACGTTAGGACCCATTATGATCAATTTCCGAGTAACAAATCGTAGCGCGCCTTGCAGACAATTGTCCTCGTGACGTAATTAACACATTGCGACTACAAACATTTAGCTAGGTTATACTAATATTATGTTAATCAAATGTAAATGCTACTCGAGCAAACTTAAACGCTCAGATTCATTTTCAAGTTCTTGAATTTCCCCGTAACTGCTTTTCTTCTATGAATCTTAATAATATATCAACATTACATGAGTATTTTACTGAGCGAACGTTGAATGATAATGTTTGATTAATGATAACGATTTGCAGCTAAGTGTTCTCTCAGACATTTTATGAAAACATTATATTCTAACATAAGTTGTTTGACTTGTTCAGAAGATCCTAAAGTACCTAACTTTATGTAAACAAAATAACTTCACATCAAAAAGTATTGTATTCTAGAGAGTCATTTATTTTAAAAACGTTTTATTATTTGCTAACTTTGCCTCTTTATGTGCAGACCTTCAGTACATACAATCTGATTTGGTTTACAAAAAGAAAAAGTAATTTTATCTTAATATTTCGTAAATACAAAACTTAAAACTTTGTATTGTAAATAAAATACAAATCACAAACTTGCTGCCAGTAGAGGATTCAAAATAAGTGAACACAATTTCAGGGTTTAGCTTAGCAAAAGAGGGCTTAATTCAAAACAGGATTCGTAGTGATTAAAAAAGGAGATCATAGTTAGTGAGTAAAAAGTAAATGGTAGAAATTATTCATCTAGAAAGAGCAGGTACTCGTAACAAGAAGCAAACGGAATAGCACGTTCACAAAAAGAAACGCGAGCGATGCGACAGACCTATCCGCGCGACCGCGGCTACGAGGCAGCGAGGTCACCCCTCCCCAAACTAACTAAACTACAAAAATGCACATAACTCTGTGCAACTCATTTTCGTTTTTCACATCATGTTCTCCTTCGTCGTGATTCATAACACATGAGTTTCATGCTTTTGCGTTGTTCACAATTATTCTAATTTGATACAGACTTTGACCGTCCTTAACACGATGTTCTCTGGTCACCAGTCCTGGTGTTAGTGTTCGTGGTATACAACCGACGTCGGGAGGCACACATCAAGTACCCCGGCCCCGATGATGACGTCCGCGAGAATATCATCAACTACGACGATGAAGGCGGCGGTGAAGACGACATGACGGCCTTCGACATCACTCCACTACAGATACCCATCGGCGGACCACTTCCTGACCATGCGCCTACTAAGTTACCATGTAAGTAACTTGTTTCTTTGTTTTTTATTATACTTAAATTGCTAACTTTACTGAATACTTTGTACAAAAATATCAACAGGTGAATCTAGTCATATTTTTTCATTCCGTTATTCTGTCTGCGTAATACAACACATCTCGCGCACACTTGAATTCTTGATTTAAGGTTAGGCTGCCACATATCTCCAAGATTAACCATTGTTCCTTCAACACCCCTTCATCACATTTGCATAATATGTTGTGCAATGGTTACAAATAAACGCCCTGTCATTTTACCCGGCTGGCGTAAGAGACGATAAAGGGATTATGGCGTTACATCCGAGACCATATTTTGTTCCAAATGTCTGCGGGGAGATGACTGTTTTATAGGAGACGTTTGCGATTTATAACGCTGACGCGAGTAAATTATTATCCATACGTCCCCATGCATTTATTCAATAATTCTATTAAACCACTTACAATAACAATCGTTTGAAATAAAAAAAGTATTTTTCATGTGGTATTTTTGTCGATTAGATCCTGTAATGGGCCTAGGCCTGGGAGTTGGTCCGATGGGCGTAGGTGTAGGCGTCCCACCGGGCGTAGGAGTGGGCGTACCGCTTCCGGGAGAGACCAACGTGGGCATGTTCATCGAGGAGCACAAGCGGCGCGCTGACAGTGACCCCAACGCGCCGCCCTTCGACGACCTGCGCAACTACGCGTACGAGGGCGGCGGCAGCACCGCCGGATCTCTCTCCTCGCTCGCATCCGGTGAGTTTTCCAATCCCATGCATCAGCACCTTTCGTAAAATTAGTTCCTCCAATCCCACTTTAAAATTTATGACGGTGCCTTGCGGCGATTCATTCACAATGTATGAAGCGAAAAATTGAGGCACCTCCAGTCTTCGTGTTCGAATAAATTATTCATATGAAATCCTAATGCGGCGCGCTTATATGCTAGGTACCGACGACGAGACGCACGAGTACGACTACCTGGGCGCGTGGGGGCCGCGGTTCAACAAGCTGGCTGACCTGTACGGGCCGGACCTGGACGAGCAGCTGTAAGCGCCGAGCACCCGCCGCTAATTTAGTCAATTGTCTCCCAGTATCGTACCACTAAGCCACTGTACCCCGCTATCTCGGGCGCGACACTCGCTCACTCGCCCACTTTCGTTTTGTAAATACACAAGCGCGGCCACGGCGCCGTGAGCGCGAGCCGCGACGTGCGCCTTCCACCCGCGCCACAACTAACTCTTATCAATTTTATACGACTTTATTTATTGTGGTAGACATGTTAAGCTTAAGTAATCGTTTAAGAAACCTATTTAATTGCGTAATTTTTATAAAGTTTAAACTACATCTTCACCAAATATTTGATATAAGTTTTTATTCGAATTAGCCATATTATGAGTCAGTATTTTATTGGAAGTTACGGAGTTAAAGAGATTTCTGCGGCAGGGCCAGACGTGAATCTGAACAGTGGGTGTTTGTAGATAGTGTGCTATAAATGTGAATAATTTATACGAGTATTTTGTAAGTCCACAGCTTTACGTGATATCACTTAATATGGCGGCCCTCCCGTAGAAATCGTTAGAGAATAAAAGAATATGTTATATTTTAATAATGGTAGGTAACATAATACTTGAGGTGGTCCACTCGGACGTCGAGTTACATAATGCTCATTCGATATTATGTCAAGTTTAAACATTGGGGTTGTATATACAATAACACTCTAGAAACAACTACCCCCGATTTTAATTAAACGTGAAACTATTAATTTAACTTTAACGTGTAAGCGAACTGTACAGTAACCGGTGTTCCTCTCCTAATGTCTCCGTGTAGTGCTAGTTAAATAGTATTTGGAAACGACTACGGTCTACTCGTAACATTAGGTAACTAATAGTAGTCATGGTCGCGGGAGTTTTCGTTTGCGTGTGAGCGTGAGTGATTTGATAAGTGTGTGAAAGCTGTAGGTATGTGTGAGAGTGCGTGCAAGCGACATATTAATATGTCGAGCGTGACTGAGCGTGTGCGTCGAGGAGCACGGCGCGTGGAGCCGGGCGTGCAGCCTGCGTGAAACGAGCGTGCGAGCTGCGTACACGCCGCGCCTGGTTCCCGCCCCGCGCTGATATGAGTGGGACTGTGCCAATTTCTTAGCATTATCGATGCAGCTAATGACGGTAGAGTTAAGTGTTTGCACTTTATTTATTCGTATGATTACATATAAATTTAGTCGCACCTAGGAAAATATCAATAACTTATTAAGAGTGTTGTGCTAGAATACTATTTCCATCGGTCTTGATGTGAGATAGTTGTTGAAACCTGTAGAAGTCATTAATTTATAAATTAATTTTTAAGAATTTATAGTAAAATATAATAATAATAAAAATGGTTTTAGAAACTGTCTCACTTCGACATCGAGTTATAATCAGTGTAAATTTTAGAATAATACTGAATTATGTTAAAATGACTGATTTTATTATGTGTTTGGAGCCTAAGATTTTGTAGACTCGGTTTAAATAGACTTCTAATAACTTACCTAATGTAAGTTCACCCTCTAGTTTGCACTAAAGACAAATAAATAATTAATATTCAAGTACCTACATCAATATTAAAGCAATTCTCGTTAATTACTATTCATATAAGTAGGAGGTCATAATTATTGTTTGATTGATACATTACACTGCCAGTATCATACATATAGTCGAGTTACGATAGCGATTTGGGTCCGATTTTATATTTCTGTCTTATACAAGGATATTTGTAAGTTTTTGAACTATTTTATATGCAGCGTTTAGTTTCCCGGCGATGCGCGCACGCGTCACTCGGTTCAGTTTCCTCGTCCAAGCTCTGCGCGTCTCCCAGTTATTGTTATTCGAGCATTTATTTATAAAGCCATCACGTCAACAGTCGTGTTGTTATTGTATCGATAAGGTTCGCTAAGGTTTGAAGTATCTTCAAGGTAAAGGAAGGAAAGCTACGAACATAGCCTGTTTAGTTCGAACTGAATGGAATGGGTTTCAAAAGGATAGATTTGTAAAAGTTCTATAGTTCTAGCTCAAAATTGAGTACTTATTGCTTGACTTTTAACAAGTCGATGGCATTGTCGATAACACCCCGCACCACACAACGCAATGCTCATCCCGCGTCTTCACTCGGACAGCAGAGCACACAATCCCAGTACAAAAAAATACAAAATTGCGATAACTCGCTAACGAACACCGATTTTTGTTTTATTTTAGACATTAATAATTAATTATACGTAATATTATACCTACACATATAGTATGTTTTGTTTCAACTGTGATTAATTAGTTGTACAACTCTGACAATTATAAAAGAATGAATAAAATAATAATATGAAAAATACTTTCGTTGTTTGTTTTCATTATTTAACCCTTTTGTAACCTTTATTATTATCTTATATATAAAAATGAATTGCTATTCGTTAGTCTCGCTAAAACTCGAGAACGGCTGAACTGATTTGGCTGATTTTGGTCTTGAAATGTTCGTGGAAGTCCAGGGAAGGTTTAAAAGGTGAGAAAAAAATTGTAGGCGGTACGAAGTTTGCCGGGTCAGCTAGTACCTAATACGTTTGATAATATGGTTGGTGCGGTGGCTAAACGTTACCGCGCAACGTGTCGCGGGTTCGATTCCTGCATGGAGCAACTCTTTGTATGTTTGTTAACGCACCCACGACACAGGAGAAAATTCTAGTGCATGGCAACGTTTTTTAAAACAAATTATGAAGTTTCAATTAGTCGAAAAATCTTTGTGATAAATATGTTTGTTTGTCTTGGGTTCAATTCCTGAGTTTCTATAAACGATCAATAAACTTCTGTAAATATATTAATTAAGTTTAACTTCAATAAGAATATATCAACGCAAAAAAAATAACAACAAAAAAAAATATAGATTATTAGAAAATCGTCAGAACAACAAAAGGCTACTCAACTTAAAGTCACGCATAAGTATAGTGCTGTCGCAAGTGCGACTGGCCGGGCAAGCAGTCTCGGATTCGATTCCCGGGTCGGGCAAAGTATTACTGTTTTTTTTTATTCTCAATAGTAGGAGTCTGGAATTGTGCCCGGTATATGGCAATAGGCTCACCCCCTATTACATGAGACTTGTGAAAAATGAGTGTTACATTGCACAGTGGCATAATGTGCTCCTCTGCCTACCCCTACGGGGCTAAAAGGCGTGATCTTATGTTATGTTATGTGAAAAATCGGCCCTTAGTAATATAATAACAAAAGATTCCTTGTTGGGACTGTGAACAATCTTCCAAAACTCCTTAGGTATACCAATAGAAACACGGCGTACCTTCCATACTAAATGCCAAACTTGTGCGACATGTAACAAACAGGTGTTCGCTAATTAATTTAACTAACAACTTAATCTGTAATTAAGTTATACCTTTAAAGCAATTAGTAGTCTATACACGCCTGCAAATTGAATTCAGTGCTGTCTAGAAATCCAATCAAATATCTTTCATATACCTACAACTGGGTACCTACATATGTCGTACCTATGTATAATAGTCTCAGATACCAAGCACAACCTGAGCTAATACCTAGTAATCTAAATTAAACAGTGGCTTGTAAGTCTAGGTACCCGAGTGTACACTATATTGTACATGAAGAGCTTTTGGAAATATTATTTCAAAAGCAATTGTATTATAACAAGTATAGAATCGTAAAACTCGTAATGACTGCCTCATTGGCCGAGTTGTTGCAAGTGCTACTGCCGGGCAAGGTGTCTCGGGTTCGATTCCCGAGTCGGGCAAAGTATTACCAGGTTTTTAAAATAATCTCAGTAGTAGCACGGGGAATTCAGATTTGTGCCTGGTATATGGCAATAGGCTCACCCCTTATTCCAAGTAGTGAAAAGTGGGTGTTACATTGTACAGTGGCATTAAGTGCTGTAATGCGCACCTCTGCCTACACCTTAGGAGATAAAAGGCGTGATGTTATGTTATGTTAGAATCACAAAACTGTAATGATCTTCAGAAGTATTATTTGTTGATTGAAAAGTACATACTCATAGGATCGAAACAAAAATTTTGTAAACGAAAGTACATACTTAAGTACACAAAAAATCAGGATACAATTTGTCCTTTACGTGAAAGAAACTTGTTTTGAGAAAAGAGGGAAGAAATAAAATAACAACTAAATAATGTCTCACTTTTCTTCTAGTGGTTGGATAAAACCTATGTAGTAAGTATGTACTTACATTACATTTAGATACATTTACTTGGAGTTCTTCGCTCGTTTTCCTTTTTCTTGGAGCGAAAGACAAAGGTGGTTCTACATTTCCATAAGACAGCATTTGCATTAAACAGTAGCTTTGCTATAGTAGGTAAGTAGATACTCTTTGAACGTCAAACACAGCCACATCTTGACGGGCAGCCCCACCACAGACCTGCGGCGCTACAGGCCGCGCACCCACAAAACTATCGCTTTGTTCAACTAATATCCCAAGCTCGTTGACATGGCAAAATTAATTGGTACGACTTTTCCATCAATTCCAGTTAATTACTGTCGATACAGTACTACAGTAGCTAACCACCCGAATCCAACATTATTTGCCCAGACTGCTCATTATGCAGCGATCACTGTGAATGTACTTTCGTGGTTAATGTGCTAGGCGGAATTTAAATTTAATCAAAACACATTCGTAACTAGCTGAGGCTAGTTGCTAAAATTATGCAAACGTATATTATTATAACGAGATTTACAGAATTATGTAAATACACACCTACTTTTATGCGAGGGTTCAAATATAACAGTCATAAACTTAGAAATATCAAACCCAACCCCGATATATAAACAAGTGGAGCTCCAGTTTTATGATCTTGGGGATTACGATCATGGCGAACCTATTCAACCCGGCCTAACAACCTAAGCAATTATCATGTGCGGCCTCCGGACTCAGTAGGTGTCAATAGGCGAACACGAGCTCGGATAATGTACTTGTTGTGGTACACACAGTACACACACGCAGCTATGATGTACATATTGTTGGTCGAGACAATTGAGCCGCAAGCCGTCGCACCAGGACGTTTA